TTTTCAGACCGATGAGCTTTGTAAAAATTGACGCGTTTCAGAAAGGCGGGGCATAGAAGAGAAACAATAATGTACAGTATGTGGAAAATAATGTGTTTTTTTAACCTTAAACCGCATAAACACATTTCATTACACCAAATACACAAAATAATGTTCTTTTTAGCAACATCATATGACCCCTTTAATATAGTGATATTAAAAGTTCAAACTCTGCAGAAGAGCCCAGAATATGAATGCAACGCGCAAAGTTTGACGTGTTTACCTCCTACTGTAAAAAAAAAAGTGGCAACATGCAATTTAAGCTATTTATACCTGTTCTTACTCTTAAATTTAGTTTTGTTGGTTTAACCTAATATATTTATAATGTTAAATAACATTTTTAATATTTTTACTTTTTTATAAAATGAATTCATTTAGCTGTTACCGAAGCACATTTTTAGGTTATCATTACACTTAATGTGGCTTAATGCATTCACACATTAAAAGACCACATTCACTAAAGCTACACCTTGATTATGCAAACTATGAATTTGCTCTGGTCCGCTGCTGCGCTTCATTGCTTTAGAGCAGTGGTCACCAACCTTTTTAGGCCCAAGATCCCTGACCTCGGCCTTTCTGAAAGACAAGATCTACCTATTGAAGAATTGATAGAAAAAGACATCCCAGATTGTACTTCAAATTTGAGGCCTTTTACTTAGTATTTTAATTAGTGATGCGCCGATCATAACCGATTCAGAATTTCTTTTTCTTTTCTTTCTTTCTTTTTTTTTTAACTAGCAAATTGGCTGATTCTGATACTGATATTTAAGCAAATGTATTTATTGGCTATTTGCTTTATAACAAACAAACTGGCTTTAAACAAAAATATCTAGCCATTTGAAATTAGAGGCAACCACTGCATTTTAATCACGATCTGCACGGGCAGTTGTTTTTTATTTGATCGTTTTTCGGCGGGGATCTTCCAGTAAAATTCACATTCAAGGGACTAAATATCACATTATTGGGGTCGCCTATACCCGCGGACATGAACAACAACCCGGCAACAGTGTTAAAGTAGCCCAATTCTGCGGGAAAACCGCGGACTTGGCAACACTGCTTATGAACCGACCGCACTATAGCGTTTCCTTGTTGCGCTTTAGAGTTGCGCTTTATACGGAGGAGAAAATGCCATTGTCATCGAAACTTTTCTCAAGACAGTTCCCTTCAGTGATACATTAATATAACCCCAGAAATGTAATGCATTTTTGTACTTATTTTACTGTTTTTTTCGGGATCTACTGGGACAGTGATAAAGATCTACCAGTCGATCGCGATCAACGGGTTGGCGACCACTGCTTTAGAGGTTCAGTACACTGACGACTTGTCACCAGACTTTGCCATGCAATAGCTGTCCTTCCTTCTCGAAACTGAAAGTGATCAAGGCACAGTGTTACAAGAGAGACTGTCCAGTTCAGTTCTTCAGAGTACTGAGAATTAGCGATGCTTATGCAGGCCAGTGTTTGAACTGAGACGTGCGCTGGCCATTAGCCCACATGAACTTTACTGAGCTTACTGTTGAATAACATGTGTACCGGGGGCCTAGAACAGATGTTTGTGTAGTATTATTGTTGAAGGATCCTCCTGCTATTGCTAAAAGAACAATCAAATCAGAGCAGCGGCACATTTGCCTCTACGTTCATTGACTATAGCCTATTTATTCCTGCAGAGATTTCAGTCTGTCTAAAACGCGATATCAAATAGCCTAATGTTATTCAATAACAACATCAAATGCATCAATGCAATGATAAACCATCACATTCATTACTGTTAAATCAGTTATGTGATTGGGGAGACGGACAGTAGAGTGTTGCAACAGGTGCCAAATTAATTTTCATACATGTGTCCTTTAATAACACACTGGACTATATTCTCAGCACATTCACTGCATCGTATGTGTAAATGCAGATGTTTAAGTCCACTGGTTGAGAGACTTCAGCATATTTCTATGGTGACCGTGTCACATGATTTAGTTGAAATACTTGATTTCCTCACCGAATGAATATAAGATATAATACATTAATACTGGTCTGATGCATCACAGTTTGTCTGAGAAACAAGTCTATAAATTAAAATTGGCTGTGGTTTCTTTTTTAGACCTTATTCAAGTGGTCATGAGAGTTTTTTGCATGAAAAACAGTCATATAACTGTAAAACACATTCTGACCCTCTTGTTGATTACGCTGCAAATGCTTGATAGTGCTCTACCTTTTTATTAAACCTGAAACCCTTCTTTAAGAAATGAATAGCTCTAGGTGTGTGTTATTTAGCAATCTGATGTGGTCTCACAAGACACAAGATGACTGAATTACTAGAACTGAAACTAGAGAGCATCCCAGTGAACTCAAATCAGTGACAGAAAATCCATGAAAAACTTCAGGTCACCTTCGAGTCTCACATCTGGAAGAATAAAAGGGCTGCATGAGCACTTCTTAACACATTCAGACAGAAGATTTCAAACCATGTTGAAATGTTTGGTACTGTAAATGCAGCCCACATATCAAAATAAAGTCACCACTTCAATTTCTGCAATAAAAGGCTGCATGATTTTGCAGATGTGCAGATTTCAGCACACCCAGAGACCACCAGCCTGTTCACTCACTGTATGATACATTACACCTGCCAAAATCACTCGCTCCAACCACATACCAAAAGATGGGGTGAAAGGTATACTGTATATCGATTCCAGCAGGCAATTATGAAGAAATAGTTTATGGATTTGACAGTTTTCAATGTTAGTATCCAAATCTAATCTTTGAATAAGCTAAATGTCCTGTATATTCTGCAAAGTTATTTCAACTATATATAATGCATCATTTTTTTATTCAATTTAATATTATAAATGTAACTCTGCATGTCGGGAAACCCAAATGCACACAAGCAAAAAGTGTTTCTGTGAAAGTTTAAGAAAAAGCAAAGGTTTGAGCCCCAGGGCTGATGTGATTTCTCACAGCACCAGTGATATCTGTCACGTAGTAGCAACATTATGTGTTTTTTTTTTTTCAAAAAATAAAAGTTTACAGCACCTTCAATTATCAGCCCAGTCTGCCGTTGTCAAACTGTCTTTTATATGCGCACATTTATTCTGCTATGAGTGTCGTTCAGACAAACTGCCAAACCCAATAAATACAAATATTATTTTGTTTTCTTGCATTAAATGTCCTATGAAAGCTACAATGCTTCAATAAACTAACAGTGGCCCCACTGGTTTCTTTCACATTCTCACAGCACCAGTGATATCTGTCACGTAGTAGCAACATTATGTGGTTTTTTTTTTCAACAAATAAAAGTTTACAGCACCTTCAATTATCAGCCCAGTCTGCCGTTGTCAAACTGTCTTTTATATGCGCACATTTATTCTGCTATGAGTGTCGTTCAGACAAACTGCCAAACCCAATAAATACAAATATTATTTTGTTTTCTTGCATTAAATGTCCTATGAAAGCTACAATGCTTCAATAAACTAACAGTGGCCCCACTGGTTTCTTTCACAGCAACAAACTCACAGTCAAAGCCATATGAAGAGTGGATGGATTTTAAGATGACATCAAACCACTGACACATTCATGACATCACAAGCATCCTCACTGAGCACATTTCTCATCAGATATCCTGGTGCGCGTGTTTTTCTTCAGAGTGACTGCAGCATGAAGTGAATCTAGCTGATCACTAATTTCACATCAATCATTCAAACTTTAATTTTGTTCCACTCATTAATACTGCATACCTGCATGCTATTATAAATATAAATATCATTCTTTGGGTGTGTTTCATTTAATAATGTGCCTAATGACCTGAAGATGTTAGTATGTCGTACGACCTATAATATACTATCAGGTGTACAAATAAATGATGAATTGTCAGTGTCATTGGAAAGCCACTAATGAGGAGTCTTCATCAAACTGGACTTAAGAAAATAATTACAAAGTAGCCAAACAGTGCATTCCATTGCTATGACTAACAATAAAAATTCTAGTACAGTATACAAAAACTCTAGAATATGATCTAAATAAAGGGGGGCATTTACTGTACCCGAAGGATGCCGACTTCCACTGTCGGTTTGGCACAGTTCTCTTGCACACGGCTGATCTGAGGCTGCTGGGACTGTCTGTCGTTTCCACAGGAAGAGAGGCATGTCTTCTGCAGACAGAAGCGCAACTCAGACACTTCACCACAGTCTGCAGCAGAACGTCCAAGCTTAAATACACGTGGATGCAGAGCTCCCAAATGAAAACTCAAAACACCTTGCAGGGTGTTAGCAAGCACTCAGAATAATAATGGCAAGCACTCACAGGGTATTGTGGAGAATAATGGACATCACGTTTAAAACGCTTTAAAATTCAGAGAATATTCACCATCACCAATACAATAGAAGTAAACATACAACATACCTGACGATTCTTGTACTGCCATATTCTGACCTGAAACACAAAAATAATTAAAGAAAAAAACATATGTAAGCAGAGTAGAGCAAATCGAAATCACATTTAGTCTTTTTAACAAGTGCCACTGCAGAATTAGAATTATGATAAATTCCAGCATATATTTCAGGAATTAATTTTATGCACTGTATTCATATATAGAGTACTGCAGCTGTGACGTCGAAACCCAGAAGACTAATGTGCCACTGATTCCCCTTGAGTTTTTATAATGGGTTTTGTTTTAAAATTCATGAGTAAAATAAGGTCTGCGGTAAACATAACTTGACGATACTTGGACATTTTGCTCTACAACATAATTTACACACACCCATAATGAAAACACAAATTTTGAGGCAGTTATTTATTATTTTATTTTTAAATAATGTTTGTAATGAATGTAAGTAACTACATAAGCTTTGTGTTTTGTGTGCAGTTTACGCTGTACAACAGTACAACGTATCATCAACACTATTGTCAAGTTATGTTTACCACAGACCTTATTTTACTTACAAAACCCTATTATAAAAACCCACAGGAAAATCCCAAGGGAAACCAGTGGTGAATTAGTCTTCCGGGTTTTGACGTCACGGCTGCAGCACTCTGTACTGTCAGCATCTGTGGCCATGACCCACCTCACATATTAGTGTTCTAATGTCAAATATCAACTCCAGTGCATGCAACTTTGAGAGTAAAACTATGAATCTGTGCCACTGGCTTGTATAGATATATTGGCTTTAATCTTTAAAAGTTGCTGACTGCTCAGATTGCACACTCTGTCCTGACTGAATGCAAACATCATGTTGGAGCTGGATGGCAAATGCCTGCGGTTCTGAGGGATCTCAGGACTGTAACATTACAACAGAAGCCATTAAGAGGTGAGTCTCCTCTCAGCTGCCCACTGCACTGTTTGCAGACGCCACTGTAATAAACGTCAGGTCACTCCACAAGAAAAGACGCAATGAACACATCGGCCACTGCTCTGATTTACTGTTGGCTTCCTGTGTTATACATAACCCCTTAAATGTTAATTTGTTCCTCACATAAAGCCATGGCTTCAGAAGAGTGCATTTATAGTGTATGGGTCATATACTTTTGTGAAAAAGAAGTGCATTCAATTGAATTGAATGAGCACTTGTAATGTAAAAGTATATTTTTGATACTGATGCAGCTGTTTGATTGAAAACTGATGAATTTCTACATATTTCATCTACTGTAAATAGGGTCCTTATTGGTTGCCTTTCAGTCGGTCCCACTCGATGTCACGTCAGGTGATGACCGACGAATTGGGATCTAGCCAGAGAGACCAATCCGCTTCGAGTGTATGAATTGCATGAGCACTTGTAATGTAAAAGTATATTTTTGATACTGATGCAGCTGTTTGATTGAAAACACTGATGAATTTCTACATATTTCATCTACTGTAAATAGGGTCCTTATTGGTTGCCTTTCAGTCGGTCCCACTCGATGTCACGTCAGGTGATGACCGACGAATTGGGATCTAGCCAGAGAGACCAATCCGCTTCGAGTGTATCTAAACTAGCCAATGGGCATTGGCATGTGGAATTCGCATCTGGTGCCACACCTCGCAGCGCAGATATAAGAGGCAGCAGGTGCACTGCATTCATTCATCCTTTCGCTTTGGAGCTGAGTGGTGGTGCATCACTACTGCTCTCTACTTCGGTGATTGCAAGAAAAAAATAAAATAAAAAAGCGAGTGCGGGCGTTACGACAACAGCAGCACAGCACAGCACAGTCTCACGGGATCATCAAAGATCGTGCAGACAGCAACACCAGGAGTGTGCGGTGGCCAGCTCCCCTGCGTGCTTCAGCACTAGAAAAGAGCAATCTCTAAAAGAGCAACACAGGTGATCGCGTCTTTTTAAAGATGTCTTATTACCCGTGTGTTTCTGGGTGTGAACGTTTCCTGGCGCCTCAGGACGGTCACGATCGCTGTCTCACGTGCCTGGGCATTAGTCACGCTGAGAAAGCGTTCGTGGGTGGTGCATGTTCTTCTTGTGGGGACATGACCATCTCGGAGTTACATAAAAGACTCAGCTACGTCAAACGTGGTGGAGTCCCTCTGCCGCGATCCAGCGTTCGTTCTGGCACCCGGGGCGGCGCTGCGTCCAGTGGAGTCAGAGGTGATTTGAGGATCACGGTGACGGCTTCCCCAAAGGGAGTTCCTCACCCCTCAAGCACTCCGCAGATGGTGGAGTTGCCGACAGAACGTGCTGGGCCCTCTGCAGGACAGAGTGCACCACTCGTATCCCTCGGTGCCCCCTCTGACAACCAGATGTTGATCGCTGCATCGGAGGGCGAGCTCTCTCTCTCCAGGGATGGCGGCTATGCTTTCCCGGGCCTCGTGTGGAATCCTCCACCGCGTCCCCGATCCTTCCAGGCTGGATGAATGGTTTCTCGGTGGGGGTCGCACTGGTTCTCAGCGCCTCTCTCTCTTGAGAGAACAGGGTGTTCGCATCCTCAACTATCTCGATGACTGGCTCATACTCGCATAGTCTCGCGATCAGTTGTGCGCACACAAGGACCTGGTGCTCAGTCACCTCAGCCAGTTGGGTCTTCAGGGTCAACTGGGAAAAGAGGATCTCTTTTCTCGGCATGGAGTTGGATTCGGTCAGCCAGACAGCACGTCTCACCCAGGAACATGCTCAGTTGGTGCTGAACTGCCTCAAGACTTTATCAGGCAGGTCAGCGGTCCCACTGAAATTCTTTCAGAGGCTCCTGGGGCATATGGCTGCAGCTGCGGCGGTAGTTCCGCTCGGTTTTCTCCATATGAGACGGCTTCAGCACTGGCTTCATGGCCGAGTCCTGAGGTGGGCGTGGTTCAGATTACACCGGTCTGCCGCAGAACCTTCAGCCTGTGGACGGAGCCCTCGTTCCTTCGGGCAGGGGTGCCCCCAGAACAGGTATCCAGGCATGCTGTGGTATTCACAGACGCCTCGGCCACCGGCTGGGGAGCCACGTACAATGGGCATGCAGTGTCAGGGGTATGGACAGGTCCCCAACTGGATTGGCATATCAATTGCCTCGAGTTGCTCCTCAGAGGGCGCCTTCGGGGCAAGGACGTTCTGGTCCGCACGGACAACACTGCGAACATCGCGTATATCAACCGGCAAGGCGGGTTACGCTCCTGTCGCAAGTTGCAACTCGCCCGCCACCTCCTCCATTGGAGTCAGAAGCATCTGAGGTCCCTTCGTGCCATCCACATACCAGGAGTGTTCAATCGGGCGGCCGACAAGCACTTCCAGGGGAGTGGAGACTCCATCCCCAGGCGGTTCAGCTGATTTGGAGGCGGTTCGGAGTTGCTCAGGTGGACCTGTTTGCATCTCCAGAAACCAGCCATTGCCAGTGGTTCTACTCACTAACCGAGGCAACGCTCGGCACGGATGCACTGGCACACAGCTAGCCACGGGGCCTGCGCAAATATGCGTTCCCCCAGTGAGCCTACTGGCACAGACACTGTGCAAGATCAGGGAGGACGAGGAGCAGGTTGTGTTAGTTGCTCCATATTGGCCCAACAGGACCTGGTTACCGGAACTCACGCTCCTCGCGACAGCCCCTCCCTGGCCGATTCCTCTTAGGAAGAATCTGCTTTCTCAGCGACGGGGCACCCTCTGGCACCCGTGTCCGGACCTGGGGAAACTCCATGTGTGGTCCCTGGATGGGACGCGGAGGTTCTAGGTGAACTAACCCAAGAGGTAGCATTCACTATGGCTTCAGCACGAGCTTCGTCCATGAGACGGGCCTATGCTCTGAAGTGGAACCTGTTCATTGAATGGTGTTCCTCTTGCCACAAGGACCCCCGGAAATGTTCGGCCAGAGCCGTGTTTTCCTTCTTGCAGCAGGAGGTTGAAGTGTAGGCTGTCCCCCTCCACCCTTAAGGTTTACGTTGCTGCTATTTCCGCCCACCACAACTCCATAGAGGAGAGGTCGGTGGGGAAGCACGATCTGGTCGTCAGGTTCCTTAAGAGGGGCCAGGATGTTAAATCTTCCTAGGCCTCCCTCCCTACCCTCTTGGGATTTGGCATTGGTGCTAAGAGCCCTACAAACTGCCCCATTCGAGCCTTTGGAGTCAGCTGAAGTTGAAGTTTCTTTCTATGAAAACCCTACTCCTGACTGCACTGGCCTCGATCAAGAGGGTGGGGGACCTGCAGGGATTTTCGGTCGATGAATCATGCCTTCAGTTTGGGCTGGCTGACTAAAGTGCAACACTGAGACCCCGGCCCAGCTATGTGCCCAAGGTTCCTACCACTCCCTTCAGGGACCAGGTAGTGAACCTACAAGCGCTGCCCCTGGAGGAGGCCCTAGCTTTGCTCTGTCCCCAGGTAGTGAACCTGCAAGCGCTGCCCCTGGAGGAGGCCCTAGCTTTGCTCTGTCCTGTATGCGCACTGCGACAGTACGTGGATAGAACTCAGAGCTTTAGGACCTCAAAACAGCTCTGTCTGTTACGGAGGACAGCAGAAGGGGAAGGCTGTCTCCAAGCAGAGGATGGCTCACTGGATAGTGGATGCCATCACCTTGGCCTATGAAGCACAAGGTGTGCCCTGACCGCTCAGGCTGCGTACTCACTCCACTAGGGCTGTTGCATTGTCCTGGGCGCTGGCTCGTGGTGCCTCGCTAGCAGACATTTGTAGAGCTGCGGGCTGGGCGACTCCTAACACGTCCGCTAGGTTCTATTGCCTACATGTCGAATCGGTTTCCTCCTGTGTTCTCACCTCAAACGGGTAGTGGCACTGAGAGGCCCGGTTCAGAGTTGGCTTGCCTTAACACCTAATTCTCCAGAGAGTTCACCAGGCCTTTCAGCCAATGAATTCCTGAAACCTGGTGTGAGGCTAGTGCCCATATGAGTGACCCTGTTGGGATCCCATATATGTATGTCCACGGTACAGCAGTGTTAATTTCGTCAACGAAGACGACGACAAATAAATGTTAAGTAAACCTACTGTATCTGAAAAATGAGTTTAATTAGTATCTCTTTCGAATTTGTCTTATTGTCTTATTCTGCTTCTTTTTCAAAAATTATACAGCTTCACACAAAGACTAGACTAAAACTAAAATTAAAACGGATATGATAGGGCATGCTTTCCCAGTGTTATCCAAGTCCTACTGTTGGGTTGCTTGAGGAACAGCAGTAGTCGACCTCCTCTGTGTAGAGCCCGGTCCTATCGTCTGCGTAAAGGAAGGGTCAGGAGGCCTACACAGGGCACTGGAGGGGGCAGCACCTGTGGTGCGTTGATAGGGATTCCCAATTCGTCGGTCACGACGTGACGTTGAGAGTGACCGACTGAAAGGGAACGTCTCGGTTACATGTGTAACCCTCGTTACCTGAGGGAGGGAACGGAGACGTCACGTCCCGTCGCCATAGTTGCTGTACCACCGCTGAGGCCTACACAGGGCACTGGAGGGGGCAGCACCTGTGGTGTGTTGGTAGGGATCCCAATTCGTCGGTCATCACGTGACGTGACGTCGAGAGTGACCGACTGAAAGGGAACGTCTCGGTTACTTGTGTAAACCTCGTTCCCTGAAGGAGGGAACGGAGATGTCACGTCCCGTCGCCACAGTTGCTGTAGCACAATCTTATCATTTACTTTAATAGCATTCTGGACGCACCGAACACTGGAATTATGTATTTTTCAATATCAAACCAGGCACACTCCAAAATGAGACAAACTCTAAAAACAATACAATATATAATAAATAAAAAGTGTTGTTTAAATAAGCGACCTGTGTATTCGCGTTCACCTTCTAATATCTGACTAAGAACCACTTTTTTGTAGAAAGTATATAAGAGGAGTCTTACTGCTGTAGCGGGCTGTTCTCCTGGATGGAGCGCAGTCTGCAGGAGAGCAGGTGCCGCTGGTACTCGTGTCTCAGGCGGCTGTTCTCTGCGCACAGGTCGGACACATGCTGCTCTAGCTCAAAGATGCGCCTCTTCTGCCGCTCCAGCAGCGTCTGCTGGGTCGCTATGATCTTGTTCAGCTCCTTCAGATAGCCCGCTGCCTTCGTCGGATTCTCGGTCCGGCTGTCCATCGTCTTCTCATTCAGCTTTACTAACCGGAGTCAAATATTGCCTCTTTTCTCCAGGTAAAGACGCGCTGTGATATATGAGAGGGGCGCGCGTCCCGTGCTCAGCCATGCTTCTGTGAAACGCTGACTCTGCGTCTCCTGCGGTGGCTTTGTGCCACTAAAGGTTAAATACGGCTATGGCTTAAATATCGTTCCCATCGCAGGTCTGGAAGAAGTTGGTGGTGCAGCAGAGAATATTTGATCCACTTGCCATACAGCACAATACACTTATAAATGGTGGCGCAGTAGCACCCTGAATACACCGCATGCGACGCGACGCGACGCAACAACTTGGATAAACCCGCCGCACGCATAAACAAAGGCTCTGATTGGTCGACTGGTTGTCTGCGTCACGATTCCACCCGCAGTCCTGACGGACGCGTCACGCTTGCAGACTGTGCTTGCAGCAGCGTATAGCAAGCCAAAAGAGTCAGAATTATGCTAAAGATAAATCGCGTTTACATACAAAACGCCGTTTTTACGGCGTTCAAAACAGCATTAGCGCCGTCAAATACGCCGTCTATAGCGTAATTCTGACTCTTTTTGCTTGCCATAGTAGCGTTCAGTTTCGCGTCGCGTCTGGCAGTGTAGCTGTTTTTGACCTGTATTTTAATCATTGGTTTATAGATACAGTCCAGTGCCTTCAACATCCCAATACAATATATGGCAGTTATAGTATTTTTCTCGTTTTTGTTTAAATATCATATTTATTTCCCCATTTTGTACTGTTTATTTTAAATAAATGCCATTTATTTTGATATAGAATGCAAAGACATATTCATGTTTTAATTGTGGCATAAGTGTCCAAAAACGTTTGAGGCCACTTTATATAAATAAAGAAATAAAGCCAGGTGAAGCGCTAAATCAATGAAGTGGCTGCACTAGAGGAACATCATGCATACAGCAGCAACATTGTGAAAAGCAGCTGGATATATTAGACTAGTACTATTTTAACAATGTAGAATATAAATGTATTGCTTCAAATTGTTATTTATTGTTTATAAAGTGAAAAATGACGGTAAACCAACCTTAAGAGTACAGAATAATTTGAATACATTTTGATTCATTCATTAGCAGACACTCTTCAATGATCATGGGAATGAATACGTTTTAAAATAGGGCATACATGAATTATCTACTAAAATACCTTTGACAACTGACAGTAATTTGGTGGTCTGACATAAAGGCAAACTAAAAGCTTTGTAAACCTATATATTAATACCTCTGGTCTGCTTTAGTCAATTATGTGAAGTTGTGACATGATGAAACCAAGCTTGTGTCATTAGTTGTTCAGTTGTTCGTGTTCAGAGGAAGTCTCACAGGGAAAAGATCAGACAGATCGATATTGTTGTGTGTCACAACTTTCCACCTAATCCACATCATTCTCCAGCATGAAATCATAGTCTAATCTGGATTTGGAGTCTCTAGATTAGTGTGTATATACGCTTCTGATCATGAGACTTTCTGACTCATGAGCTGCTTCAGTCTTTCTCTCCATTAAACTTGTCCTGTGATAGTTTTGCTTGCATCCAGTCTTGGATTAAGAGATGTGTTAAAGTCTCCACCAATTACAAGCCTGCATTTAGGAACTTCTGTTCTGAAGAACTGAAACTGGTGAAAATCTTCAACATGAGATTAGGATCAGCATCAGAATGATAATACACACAAATGTACTTCTGATTGTCAATGTCAACATGAACCCAAGCATAATCTCACAAAACATTTTCTGACAGTTGTGTGGTTTATTGATGAGAATGGCAGGACCTCTGAACTGAACAGCCCGGTCTCATGACAATGCGTATAAATAGTACGCCAAATAAAAACGAAAACTCGTGGTATTGATACGCAAAAATGGACTTTGGCGTGCATATGATACGCAGTTTTCGCGTGGATATGATACGCATCTACCCCACAACCCTAAACCTACCCATCGCGTAGCATATACACGCCAAAGTCCATTTTTGCGTATCAATACGACGAGTTTTCGTTTTTATTTGGCGTACTATTTATACTAGGGTGACCATACGTGCCATTTTCCCAGGAGGCGTCCTGGCCAGGATTTCTATATTGCCTAAAATATCTAGGTTTTGGCTTTGTTTGCGTGTGCAGACCGATCGGTGTATAACATCAAAATACCTCGAGAGCATTTTGAAAGCATAAGGAACCGTCTGTATGGTATTTTGATGTCATACACCGATCGGTCTGCACACGCAAACAAAGCCAAAACCTAGATATTTTAGGCAATATAGAAATCCTGGCCAGGACGCGTCCTGGGAAAATGGCACGTATGGTCACCCTAATTTATACGCATTTTCATGAGACCGGGTTGAACTGAAGTATGTCATATACGTTGTCTACAGCTGGTCATTCTTTCTCTTTTTGCAAGTATTTCTCAATTTTTAGATTAAAAAAAAATATAAAAAAAATAAAAAATAAGTCATAATCCATGTTTACACTGTAATATCTATGTCATTATACAAATTTGTGTCCTCATAAACTGTACACACACACAGTTTAATAGGACGTTCCTTTGACATATTGGTTCTTATACTGTACAAACTTTCCTACTTCTAAACAACCCTCAAAGTTCATTAAGTTTAAGCATCGATCTGTTGGTGTTCAGACTTTTAACTGTCATTTCAAATTCTTACTTTCCTATTCAATGCAATCAATTCAGTTTAAGAAGCTGATGTTAAATAACTGACTTTATGCTTAAGGGCATGCAAAGTTGTTTCTCTCTCTCTCTCTTCTTTTTAAATATTTAAGGAATAATTTACAATGGGCCATTGTTTTTGACAATTCATGCAAATTCCAAGGTGATAATGCAGAGATAGCGAGAGAATTCCATGGATATTAAAAGTAATTTCTAAAGAAAACAAATGAATATCCCATTATTTCTCATCTGTTTGGTCAGCTTGATCAATGTCTGTGTCTGTGTTATTATCCGTTTTTACTGTGGTATGATAGGACTGTAAGGATCTTTGAAATACCTGAAATAATTACTTTATGTACTTGCAGTTGCTGCAAGATAATACACTATAGGTGCTTTAAGCAATAAAGTACAAGAAGCCATGCTGTATTATGAAAACAGTCAAAGTTACAGCAGCACAACAATGTTAAAAACAATGCATAACAATAACACATGAAAACACTTACATAATTGTCCCGTGATCCATCTGTGGATACCACACTGTCGATTTAAAATTCATGAAAACACACACACACACACACACACACACACACACACCTGTGATGTTCTTGGTGAAATAACAGTGTTGTAAGCAGATAGCTTTGCCACACTTACACAAATCTGAACACAAGTGCAGGTTATATGGTGTGTGTGGTGTGGTGTGGCGGGTCTTGTGTGCACCAGTGTCGCCCTGGGCAACAAGACACAAGGGATCATACTGGAGGAAGCATTCACTCCATCCCATCATGCAGCAGGGTTACAGAAATACGTTCATGTCAGTTCTTTCATTAATATGTGATGCACCACATTTCTCAGATTAAGTTCAACCAGTGTATTCAGACATCTGATCTGTTTTTAACTGTAAAATCTATCATCTATAATCTTCAGCTTCAATTAGTCAAGTTTTTTAGTGTATATTTGTGACTAATAATGAGCAACACAGCGTTACAACTGTCACAAATGAAACACACGACTGATCATCTAATGTTTTTGTTAAATGAAAGATGAGTTTCACAAAATGGTTAAAACTTTCAGTGGAGGGGCAGAAATCTCTCAGCTTTCAATACAATATATCTTCATTGGTCCTCCACACACATATTATGATAGAGTTTAAATAATATTAAAAACAAAAAGAACATGAAATGCCTTAATGAGTTTAGAAATGGATATTACAGGAATCTTACTGTATTAGTGCGTATTAGGCAAGTATTAGTGGCTACATTGGATTAGCACATGGTAGTACTCACACTGGCTGTAGGTTATTTGGCATAACATTTGCAAGGAGTCTAAAAACCAGCTATTGCAGGATAATGAGGCTACAGATTCAAGACATGATAACAGCAACACAATGGAAAACACCACAGTCACAGATACTGAAACACAGGTTTCTGAAGGGGACTTGAAGAAGTGGCGATGGTCTAACAAGACCATTTTTGCAAGAAAGTTTTTGAAAGCCATAGGACAATTATAAAAAAACCCCACTAAAGTTAAAGAAATAGTATACTTGCATAACACTTGTACTACACAATACTTATTACAATTTTTCATGACTAATTTTACTGTTGAAGAGATACAATGATATAAGTCCCAAACTTAATTTTGAATTTTTTTGAATATATAAATATATTTTCTTCTTCTTTTGAGCCGTCTTGTGTCTTGATCAGTTCTCGATCAGCTGTAGCTGAAGCAGCCAACAAGTTCTCAACTGGGTTTCATTCAGGTGAACAAGGGGGTCAGGCCATTATTCTGTCACTTCGGAAGCATTTTCAGGCGAGCCAAACAGTGGAGCACATACATGAAGAAAGTATCTTCCGGAAATTGGCAGTAGTTTTGGGAGGTCATTTTCAGTCTGCAGCCCAAAAAGTTCCAACCAGCTCATCATTAACGATAGCAGCCCACAGCTTTACGACACACACACTGACGGGAACCGGTGCTCTGTGTCCCATTAGTGAGTCGAGCACAGCTGATGTGGTTTGGAACATGAAACATGCTTGTAAAAATATGATCAGAATATTCACTTGCCTAATAATTGTGCATGCAGTGTATATTTGTCATCTAAGGATATTGCAGTAGTATATTATTCTGAATTCAGCCTTACTTTTCTCATTAAAAACCAGCAGAAACCAGTGCTTTTGAAATTCACTTTTCATTACATACAAATTATTTTTTTTAAAGTGATTTCCTCTGAAAGGCAAATCTCTAACCTAACTTAATCGAAGGTCAAATTAATTCCATATACCAGTGTTTTTTTTACTTAAATGGCAAATATGTAAAAACCACTGCGAACAGGTGATACTTAAAAAAAGCATTTAATTTTTATAGATGACAAACATGCTGCACAAAGCTCGGTGTAAATAAAGGAAGAAGCAGTTAACTTTTGAGGAAGCTATGAATGACAGAAGAGCACATACATTGACAAAGGCTCAGAAGTGGTTACATCTACAGATTAAAGTCAAAGTTTATGACAGATTCACAATTCCTGGTTTTATTCAGTGCAGCAGTTCTGAGTCACATTATGGCTCTTGCTTACAAAGGCAGATACCAGAAAAATCTAGGCTGAGGCATTTTTCGGTTAATAATGATCACATTC